ATTGTTGCCTAGGTTGTAATCTTTACAGGAGCAGATCACCGGGACATTTCTCCTGCAGAGCAGCTGGTGGGTTTGAACCACTGACCTTTTGGTTAGCAGCCGAATGCTTTAACCATTGCACCACCAGAGCTCTGTCATTCACTAATAACAGCTCAAATATACAATTATACACTGATGTTGAATTATTAGAGAGCAAAGGACAGGAAACGATGGTGGTAAAGATTGCACACATTCCCAGTTAACCTGTCATAGCCCCTTGGGTGGCCCTTGCAAGTATAAATTATAGACCACAGGATAAAGTGACAGGCACCTAAGCATTAGGTCGTCAGCCAGAAAAATGGGCTGAACTCCAAATAGGTGTCACTCTGGATTCAGCTTACAGTATTTGGTTTTCACTTTATAAATACCCTGGCTTACGCATCTCTTCTTCACAAATGAATTTCATAGCTGTACTTTCAGGCCCACTCATATGTCACATCCTCTTGGAAAACTTCTTGGATCCCCCAAATTGAGTTCATCTCCCATCTTTCAAGCTCCCATCACCTTAGTCTGGGTTTTAGCACATACTGTATTCTACCTTTGGCCTTACCTTTCTGTGCCCAGGTTTTACAGACCCTACTTAATTATAAAAAAGGAGAAAAAAAAGCAAAGATGTCATTTTGATGACTAAGATGCACCTGACCCAAGCCATAGTCTTTTCAATTGCCTTGTATGCATATGAAAGCTGGACAACGAAAAAGGAAGACAGAAGAAGAGTTGATGCATTTGAATTGTGATGTTAGCAAAGAATATTGAATATACTGTGGACTGTCAGAAGAATGAATAAATCAATATTAGAAAAAATACAACCAGAATGCTACTTAGAAGTATCAACAGGAAAGACCGATCACTAGAAAAGGACATCATGTTTGGTAAAGTAGAGGGTCTGTGAAAATGAGGGAAACCCTCAATGAGACAGATTGACACGATAGCCACAACAATGGACTTGGACCTACCAATGATCATGAAGATGGCACAGGACCGGGCAACATTTCATTCTTTTACGCATAAGGTTGCCATGAGTCAGAACCAGCTTGCTGGAGACTAACAACTTAACTAAAAGCCGTGTGAAGGCAAGCCTTCTACAACACCCTACTTTCTCTAAATTTACATCTTACTTGTTGAAAGGCTATAATTTCTCTATGATTTGAGTTTTACTTTTTATTCATTTAATGGCTCTTTTTCTCATTTTCCTGTAAGCTCCATGAGGCATGGAGTCATGCTTGTCATACTTATCTCTCTAAGCTTAGCCTGAGTCCCTGGGTGGTGCAAATGGTTAACACACTCGGCTGCTAACTGAAAGGTTGAAGGTTCAAGTCCATCCAGAAGCACCTCAGAAGAAAGGATTGTCAATCTACTTCCAAAAATCAGCCATTGAAAACACTATGGAGCACAGTTATACTCTGACACACATGGGGTCACCATGAGTCACAATTGACTCAACGGCAACTGTTTTTTTTTTTTTTTTAAGTTTAGCCTAATTCCTATCACAATATCTAGCATTTAGTGGACATTCAATAAACATTTCTTGAATTAATCTGTTACATGGAGCCCTAACGGCACAGTGGTTAGAAGCTCGGTTGCTAACCAAAGGTTGGCAGTTAGAATCCATCAGCCACTCCTTGGAAATACTATGAGGCAGTTCTACTCTATCCTATAGGGTTCCTATGAATCAGAATTGACTCGATGGCAGTGAGTTTGGTTTTGGGTTTTGGGTTCATATTTGCCAAATAATTTAGCAGGCACACTTTATACCTAACAGGATTTCAAAGAAGAGTTCATAAATATAGTAGCTCTGAATTGAATGGACTAAAACTAGAGACACAAGTACACTAAGGACACAATGTAAATATTCAGGAGTAAATCCTGAATAAAGAAGAGATACTCACCCCAGAAGACATGGCCCCCAGACTCTCTGTTAACCCAGAACTAAAACCATTCCCTAAGCCAACTCTTCAAAGAATAGACTGGACTATAAGATATAAAATGATACCCGTGAAGAGTGTGCTTCTTAGTTCAAGCAGATACACGAGACTAAATGGGCAACTTCTGTCTGGAGGTGAGATGAGAAGGCAGAAAGGAATAGGAGCTGGTTGAATGGACATGGGAAATCAGGGGTGGAAAGGAGGAATGTGCGGTCATATGATAGGGATAGAAACTAGGGTCACATAACAATGTGTGTATAAGTTTTTGTATGAGAAACCAACCTGAGCTGTAAACTTTCACCTAAAGCACGATAAAAAAGAAGAAGAAGAGAGACTACAGCAAACCCCAAAGCCAGTGGACTCAAGCATGTTTTAGGAACAATGAGAAACTTCTGCTTGAAAGGTTATTATCTGAAGTATGGTTTTTGAAGAGAAAAGCCAAATAAGCCATTTATTCACATGCCTGAAATCTAACACCATACAAAGAAGATGACAAAGAAAATGGCATTTTAGATTTCTAACTAAACTTTGTCCCTCATTTTCTGTTGAATTATTTTTCCTAGACATCTCTGCCTCCGAACCAATTTGCTGAGGGAAATCTTTACTACTACACTAGATTGCTAGTGATGTGTTCTGAGGGCCTGAAGATTTAGGAACCTCAGCAGACTGTTTGAGAATGGGGTCTCTCATTTCCCACCCTGAGTTGTCACAGGAGGATTCGTTAAAGTCGACCAATGTCCTAGAAAAGCCTTGGTGAGTGGTGGTGCGCTCCTAACACATGGGGTAATCAAAGCTTCAGATGTGAAAAAATGTCCTCAAAATATAGCGGACACTTTGCCAACGGGGAAAATATCATTTATAAGAGCAGCTGGGAATATGTTTTCCGAAATGGTTTGATCTCCATGTCTCTTGGTTGGCCAGATTTTCATTGACCTGGCAAAGACCATCATCCTAGCCTTCTTCTCTAGCTAAGGAATTGAAAATCAAGGGTAAGTGTGCAAAAGTGGCATTCAGAACAATGTTCAAAGGTATGATATGCAAGCTCCAACTCTGCCCCTATTATACCCTTACTTCCAAACTCCACAATCAGTTACAAGTATCATGAACCCCAAGGAGTCTTCTTTGATCTTACTTCCCCAAAGCAAATTTAATTGCCCCTTCCACAGGTCTCCTAGCAGCATTTTGATTGTATTGATTTGTCCACAGTATTTCCCATGTTCCAAAGATGCCTATCTCTTAGATATAATTTGCTTCCTTGTGGACAAGTGCCATGTCTTATTCTTTTTTATATCCCAAAAATCTAACAACAGGCATGAAGTTGGCTCATATCAAATCCACCCTACTAGCGTCCCCATTACAGAGAGAAAGAGAATGCTTTGTACACAGTGTACACAGGGACTCATTTAACAAGTATTTACTGAATGACTACTATGTGCCAGGCACTGTCCAAGTTACTAGGGATACCGATAAACAAGACAGTAAGGTCCCTCCCTGCTCTCTAGGAGACAATAAGCAAACAAATGATTTTGGATAGTGATAAGTGCAATAAAATGGGCAATGGGATGAAGAGTGATTTGGAGGAGCAACAAGGTAGTCAGGGAAGCTCTCTCATTTGAGCTGAGACCTGACTGATGAGAAGGAGCCAGCGATGCAAAGCCAGCCTGGAGGGAATGCCCTAGGATGAGGCACTAAACTAAAGCAATGTTTGTTATTCGTGGGTTGTGGGCAGCTTGGGGAGGAGAGTGGAGGAAGATGGTGGAGCTGGTTAATTGCTAATTCCCTCCCCCTCACCTACATCAGAGCAGGGTGCCACCTTTCCCCCTCACTTTGCAGGCTCTTTTCACTACCATTTCCAATTTCTTAATTCTGCTCCCTGATTTACATTAAATTACAACATGAGCCTCTGCTAGCAGCAAACTTATCTGGAGGGAGCCTTCTTCTAACACTGAATGATATAAAACACTTAACTAAAAGCAGTTGGAAATTAGAGGCAGAGAATATTCTGATTTAGCTTTCATTATTAGGCCCATTCAACTAATGTGTATTTTTATGACCATTACATTGCATTGTCATTACTGATCTTAGTCATAAACTGTTATAAACTCACCCATCATTTGCTCCTTTCCATATTATCTCATGTTTTTGTTGCTGTTGCATGCCAATGAGTTGATTCTTGTTCACAGCGACTTTATAGGACAGAGTAGAACTGCTTCATAGGGTTTCCTAGGCTGAAATCTTTATGGGAGCAGATTTCCAGGTCTTTTCTCCCATGGAGTGTCTGGCAGGTTCAAATTACTGACCTTTTAGTTAGCAGTTAAGTGGTTAACCATTGAACCACCAGGGCTCTTTGATGTTATCTCAAAGGAAGCTCTATTTTGAGGTAAGTAGCTTTAACAAAGCTACATATTTAACTATACACTAACATTAAAAAAAAAAAAAAAAAGCAAACTTGTATCTAAAGTACATTTTCCAAGATAACCATAGAATGTCAGTAAGTAACTACATGGGCTTCCCTGGGTGGCCCAAATAGTTACGCACTTGACTACTAGTTCAAAGGTTAGCAGTTTTAACCCACCCAGAGGCTCTTTGGAAGACAGGCCAGGCGATCTGCTTCTGAAAGGTCATAGCCTTGAAAACCCTATGGAGCAGTTCTACTCTGCACACATGGGGTCGCCATGAGTCAGAATCGACTTGACAGCAACTAACAGTAACAAGTAATTACATGACTTATTTTAATACTACTAAGTTTGAAATTTCTTCATTATTTCATTGTCTACTTCTTTGTGAGTATTTGTTCATCAAGAACTGTAGTCAATTCAAAAGAAAAAGAAAAAGAAGCAGCAGCTATTTTCTGCATCATAACCAGATTGTCTGGATGTCGTGCCTGGAATACATCAGAAGTGACATTTCTAGTCATGTTTCCAATCATTTAGAACATGCAGATTTTCCTTTGCCATCTGCAAAATTTCTGGCTGCTTTGAGCCACGCTGTCAGCAAGAACAGTTCAGAAAAGGAGCCATACCAAACGTACTCTACCTGATGTCATCTTCTGATCCAACTCAAGACATTTAGGTTCTTCTTGGGATTCCTCTTCTTCCTACATTCCAGCCAACAAGTCAGAAAAATGGAGAAATCTTTTTTTAATGCATTAATTTAAAGCAATATTTTTTGCAAACCTACTAAGCTTACTAATTGCAACCTACTAATTCAGATCAAAGGACACAGATTCAGGCACGACGGTAAAACACTTGGCTGCTAACCGAAAGGTTGGCAGTTCAAATCCACCCAGCAGCTCCACGGAAGAAAGATCTGGCAATTTGCTCCCATAAAGATTACAGCTTAGATAACCCGACAGGGCAGTTCTACTCTGAAACACACGAGGTTTCCATGAGTCGGAATCAACTCAAAAGCAACTGAATAAAAGGAAAATCACATCCAGATCTGAAAAAAATTGGACCAAGCCCTTAAGAAAAGAGACTTTGAACAAGCAAAAAATCCAACAATAGATGTTGAGTAGAGTAACGATGGGGGGGCCCAGTTATACAACTCCAGGGTGCCTTTCACACAGAAGTGTCTATGAATGTTACTCCTGGAGTAGTACAACTCAATGACCTTCTGTGACTAATACAACGTTTGGGGGCTCCAGTTACTTAGACATGGTCCAGTTGCCGTCGAGTCGATTCTGATTCATAATGACCCTATGGGACAGAGTAGAACTGCCCCAGAGGGTTTCCAAGGTGCGGCTGGTGGATTGGAACTGCAACCTTTTGCTTAGCAACCAAGCTCTTTAACCGCTATGCCACATGGTAGTGGTGGATTTCTCCATGAGAGAGAGATTCTGCCAATATGGCAGAACAAAGATAATTGTTTCATTTTTCACATTTTAAGGAGCTGATTTCATGTCCTTTTGAAAGTTCTGTCACAGTTCACAGTTCTTTTTATCTCTGGGAAGCCAGGGTACACATTCTCTTTTGAGTTTTGGTATGATGTTCTTTAAGCTATTAATTGCTATTGCTGCTGAAGCACTGATGAAAGTAGTCCATGCTAGGAGTGAAAAAGGAAATCAAGAGGAATGTCTCAATGGTGCTTTTCTAATTTTGTCTGCAAGATGACTTTAGACTGATTCATTAATTTTTTTTTCCTTCATTACACAAATATTTGTTGAATACCTGTTATGGGCCATTTCTGTGGGACCTTAATCTTAAGACGAGATTCCTTCTAGCGTCCCTTGAATTATACCTGCAGGCAGTTGCACCATCTTACTTTGTAGCCGGGTGCACTTTTCGTACATAACTTTCTTCTTCCCAAGAATTTAGCCCAGCAGAAGATGTTACAGGCTATAATAAAGCATAACGGTGTGGGTTTCCATTAATGATAACTGAGGCTACTTTATAACCAAAGTTGAACAATGGAACTCAAAAACTGGTATTATCTGTCAAAGGAACACTCCCATATTTGCTCTCAGTTTGCCACTCCCTAGGTGTCTTAGTTATCAAGTGCTGCTATAACAGAAATACCGCAGGTGGGTGGCTTTAACAAACAGAAATTTATTTTCTCACAGTTTAGGAGGCTAGAAGCCCAAATTCAGGGTGCCAGTTCTAAGGGAAGGCTTTCTCTCTCTGTCGGCTCTGGAGGAAGGTCCTTGTCTCTTTGAGCTTCTGTTCCTGGGCGATTTTCATGTAGCTTGGCATATCTCTTCCCCTATCTCTGCTTGCTAGCTTGTGTTTAATCTCGTTTATATCTTAAAAGAGATTGATTCAAGATACAACCTACACTAATCCTGCCTCATTAACATAACAGAGACAACCCATTCCTAAATGGGATTATCACCACAGGCATAGAGGTTAGGATTTTCAATACATATTTTTGGGGGACACAATTCAATCCATAACACTAGGTAATACCTCATCTGGATGTGAATCCATCAGACCTTCAAGCTTGCTTAGCAAGATAAGGAAATATCCTTTTCAATTCATAAATATTTGTTTTATTAAGTTACCATCAGTATCCCCCCAGACACCCTTTTAGCTCAGTGGTGAAGTCACTTCCAAGGTTCACCGTTCAGCTGGAGAGTGGACAGCCCCATAAAACCAAATGGGACTAATGAGGCACAGCAGTCCAGGGACAAGGACTACAAGGCAGAAGGGGACAGGAAAGCTGGTGATAGGGAACCTAAGGTTGAGTAAGGATAGTGTTGATGTGTTGTGAGGTTGTTAACCATTGTCATAGGGCAACATGTGTACTAACTGTTTAATGAGAAACTATTTTGTTCTGTAAGTCTTCATCTTAAGTGAGGATAGCAGCACAATTGGAAGAGCGTAGTCGATGTCACTGAACTGTGCATGTAGAAATTTTTGAAATGGTGTATCTTTGGCTATGTATATTCCCCCCCACCCCCAAAAAAAAAAAAGGTCGAGAAGGGAGGGGGTTGACATGTTGTGGGGTTGTTAACCAATGTCATAAAACAATATGTGTACTACTGTTTCATGAGAAACTATTTATTCTGTAAACCTTCACCTAAAGTACAATTAAAAAAAAAAACACCTTAAGTTAAACATTATCCCTATTGTTAGATGATAAAACTGACACCCAAAGAGGCTGAGTAACTTACTTACAGTAGTGAAATGGGTTGGATCTCATGTTGGCCTGCTGGGCCCTGGTCCACCATGCTGCTGGGCCTCACCTTGTGCTTACCTGTCCCCTTCCTTTTTCCCTAGCTCGGTTCCCATAGCCATCCCTCCCCTAACATGCCAGTGCCCATTCCTACTTAGGGGAAATCCGGGAATGTAAACCAAAGCTGTCACTTTGAGTGTGGTATTTTGTGTTTCCTTCTATACTACATCTGCATATATACTCTAACATGAAAATAATTAGTTAATACAGTTAAATTATCTAGCCTCCCCCAGTTCACATAATAATCGTTCAATAAACATAATACTCTACGAAGATGAAAAAAAATTGCCATCAGTATCTGTTCATAGGGGAATTGATTTCATCTGTGTCGGGAAAAAATATATTTTCTGGAGATCAAAAATCATCTTCAAATGTTCATGATCAGGGACCAGTGCTAAAAAATTTCCTACTTTTAAAACTCATGAAATACTATTTGCACGGGAAATAGTTCAGTTATCTCAAATATACATATTGTAAGAAATTTTACTGAAAATTGCTTCCAAAATTATATTTCTGAAAAAGGTCTGAATTAATATTATTCCAAAGGACATGCCCCACACAAAACTACTAAACATAGTGAATAATTCATATTTCACAAGGCCCAACAGGACAGTATATAATGGAAACATGAGAAATTCTTTTATAATAAAGCCAAGTGAAAGTCTCTCAAAATACCAAAAATATCTAAATGAAGTTATTTCGTAGATGAAAGAATTTCCCCCTTTGAACCAATAACACTGTTTACTTCTTTATTGCTAAAAATTCCAGAATCATTAAATGACTTAGCCCTTAGCTTTCCTCAAAATGTTTATTACTTCATTTTAAATTGCCCATCCCCAAATTTTCTCACTAATTAGTAAAAGTTGAAAAGCTGGAACAATCTGCAGAGAAGAGGATGTTTGCAATCCCCTTGGCTGGAGGGCTCTCAGCGTAGAATAAACAAGCATCTGTCTTCGATAGTATAAACTATGTTCTATTTAGAGAAAAGAAGCTGCACTCGTTAGACTCTAGTGTTTCTTCTCTTCTGTGCAAGTCTGTGATTTGCTGAATTTGTTCTTTTTCCCCGCAAAGCTAGAATAAAGTGACAACAGTCCAACTGTAGTGGATCTCTGTTGATGTTGCTTGCTGGCATTCACTCACTCGCTAGTAAGATTTCCTCTTTGAAGCCGTCTCTCCCCACTCTCAATGAACTGTTGTTCCTGGGAAACTGACTCCACCACCACTGCTCTAGGGGTGGTATACGTGACCCAGGCCTACACCCATCTGCATACTGCGTTTCCCTGGCCTCATGGCTGGCAAACGTGAATGGTACAGGATAGTCATGTGACCCAATCAGGACCCATGAGTGGTAATGAGATTTCCTCTTGACTTCTGGGAATGTGACCCTTATACTCATTCAGTGGACCTGAAGCCTGAGACAACTGTAGGAGTTGAAGCTACTGCTTCCACCATCTTGCTGCTGGGAGCAACTTGAGACTGAAACCCACACAAAGGAAGGCATAGCCAAGAGATGAAAAGATTACAGAGTCTTGATATCAGTTGAGCCCCAAATTTAACCTTATGTCTGAAGCAAGCTTGTTGTTGTGTTGTTGTTAGCTGCCATTGAGTTAGCCCTGGACTCATGGCAACCTCATACACAATTGAATGAAACCCTGCCTGGTTCTGAGCCATCCCTGTGATTGGCTGCAGGTTGCATCATTGTGATCCATAGAGTTTTCTTTGGCTGATTTTTGGAAGGAGATCACCAGGTCTTTCTTCCTAGTCTGTCTTTGTCTGGAAGCTCCACTGAAACCTGTTCAGCATCACAGTAACATGCAATTCTTCACTGAGAAATGAATGTGCATTGGCCAGGAATCAAACCTGAGTCTCCCTCAGGGAAGGCGAGAGTTCTGTCAATGAACCACCACTGCCTCCTTGAAGAAAGCTTAATTAACCTTGGACTTTTCAGCGCATGTCAGCTAAAACACTCCCCCCCCCCTTTTCTTTAATACCTTCCTTTTGTAATTAAGCCAATTTCTGTCAGGTTTTCTGCTACTTCTAATAGAATGAGTCCTGACTGGTACACCAGCTTAGGCACCTTAGCTCTGGTAAGTCAGTAATCAAGTGTGTTTATATTGGTACCTCACACACCATCATGGGTTTTACCATGCTAACTTAATGGAATCATACAGTGATGATTAGTGCATTGTGGGAGGTACTATTAAAATTTGACAAACTTTCCATCTATTTCCTCTGAGGACTAATCCCCAAGTTGTTTTACTATGAGGCCATCACAACCTGAGTTTTTACACTTAGTAAGTTCCAGATATGTTTTTGGTACAAATAAGCTTCTTTTCCCAGGATTCACCTGGTTGAGTAGCAGTAAAAAAAAAAAAATAACAGCAACAAAAAACCTGAAAACATTAACAACATAACTTTACCAAC